ATTAAGAGAAATGTCGTAATATATTAATATTACTGGTAAATTTCTTACATCTCGCGATGCGACAAACCGTTCTGGAGTTTTCCACGGTGTCTCTAGCGCAGGACTACACGCGTTCAAACGACAAAGGCGGCAGAAACGACTCGTATATCACACTCACTCCCACCCATTCGGCCGATCTCATCCTCTCAGAACGTTCTCTCGATTACAGAGAATATTCGACACGACCGCACGAAAGGTTCCCAGTCAGCCTTTCCTTCGATGGCCGCCCACGGCGATGCTGGGTAAAAATAATATTTCAGGGAAAATCCTGATGACCTCCGACCGGTTATTACAGCCGAAAGATTCGCTTAAAGAGCTTGTCATATAACGCGAAGACGCTCGAGGTGGACAAGTCAGTACGTTTAAAACAGTTCCTTTAGTAGGTTTCTTTTTGTGGGACAGGTACAATCGACTGTTAGAAAAGTAATTGCCCGTTGAATCATCAAAGATAGGATGAAGTCCATTGTAACACGAAAGATGATTCTTCGAGTAAGGATAAATTACAAATAAAAGATCAAACTTTTGTTTCTTAAAATTGTACCTACGGAGTTTAACTCTTTCGTATACTACCATGGCCGTTCACAATCACTGTATACTACGAGAAATTACAATCGCCTGTCACATAGTGCTCACATTTTAAGGTAGAAGGTATTTAACCGTTTGAGTGCCACGAGCCTTTCTTATTTCCCGATCGAAAATTGCCAAGCGGCGCGATAGCGCCCGTCATATTCCGCGTCCAAAAATGCCAAAGAGCGTGATTGCGCTGTTTTCAGCTTACATGTAATAAATATTAATATTAATTTTATCTTTTTTTACTTAAGACTCAAGGGTAACCGTAAAGTCGTGCATCGAAAAAAATCGACCCCTCTGTGATTATGGGCTTCGCAGCCTAGAGCGCTGGCGCTTTTAGGACAGGATAGAAGAAGCGCGATCGCGCCGCTTGGCACTCAAACGGTTAATAGAAATTTTAGGAATGATTTTAATCAAATCGGCTTGTTTATACTCTAATATCGATCAAATTTTATGAATAAAATCATTTTATTTCTGTTTACACAGTGTTCCATTTAACTGGAAACGGTGGGATATCTCACGAGGGATTGAAGTAATGAAAAAAATGTTCTTGCAAAAGCTGTGGTCTAAATAATTTTGCTGTAAGTGTAGTAGTGGGAGAGATATCAAAGGCAAGTTAATTTTTTTTAATGAAACGCTACATTTTTCTATTTTTAATATTATTCAACGAAGTGAATTCATTTAGTAACTTTGTTTCATGGAAAGTTGCAAAATCGTGGAGAATTTGTTTTAGCAGTACAGTCAAGTAGGGCTTACAATAGTTGGCCGAAAGGGTCCGACATACATATGTTGACCTAACTCCTCGATTCTTCACTACTTTACGATTTTTCACGGAACAAAATGACTTCGTGTGGCACATCAATCAGGGTTTCATTTAAAAAAATTAACTTCACTTTGATATCTTTCCCACTGCTACATCTACAGTAAAATTATTTATACCACCTAATTGTCCACCTATGTACCGAACAACTTTGTAGGAACATTTTTTCCATAACTTCAATCCCTCGTAAGATGTTCTACCGTTTCCAGTTTAACGTAATTTAACTGTATATTAAATTAAATCCTTCAATATATAAAAGCGGACAAAAGTGTTATCGGCGCAACTACGTACAGTCGTACTGTGATTATTTCTTAAAAAATTAAGGTTGCAATACAACGAAGGATATCGAAGTTACATTTTAATAGAACAATAAATTACTCATCGACATCACTTGCTTTTACAATTCTCAATTTGTAACCCGATGAATAAAAACTTTACACTAATTTCTTTTTATTTTGCAATTTATAAGTTCGTCCTAGACGAACTTCGATAAAAGAAACTTCCTTGTATGAATGTAACTCTGAAAGAAATCATTTACCGACCAATTTTACAGCACAATACATTCTCTATACCTCTAAGAGGTCTGTTCTGATTTCGATTTCCTTTCAAGTTAAATATCTCTCAAATGTTCAACCCGAACGTTCATCCCAGCACGATTAAAAGCATCCGAACTATCAAAAACTGTCCACCAACGTCGAAGACGGCATTCATCTTCCTGAAATATTATTTCGGTTCGTCTCACGCGAGGCGAAAGATCGCTTGAGACATTCCGTTCGACAGCTACTTGGGACAAGAACGATTTCCAACGACTTGCAGCGTCGACGACGACACGTTTCAACGAACTTTTCGGTCTACACTCTTCCGGTTGCATGGTCAAGCGACGCGTCGCATCCTCTCGAGTGTATAGTCGGTAGAACCGATATAACGAGGTCGTAAATTAAAGCATTAAGCGGCGACACCGGTTTATATAGCCACGTCCAAGGCAATACGTTATTTGTGAATTTCACAATCTTTTATTAACCCTTTGAAGGCAATCGATTTATATACGAACGCAACTAATGAAGTGAAATATTGTAGAGCAAAAAAAGAAAAAACGTTGACGTAGCTATCAACTTATATACGTACGTATATTTGAGAAAAATACGATTTCAGTACGATTTAGTTTAACCCTTTGAATGCACACTAAGATGACCAAATATGGTAAAAAAATGTCGACATTCTTATGGGTTAAGTTGCTTGTAACTGTAGCAAATAACATGGACATATTATGTTTTACACGTATATTTTTAATAATTGATTTATTTGATAATTAATAATTAATCTGTAGTAATGATAAGACATTCATTTCTAGACTTCTGATGTATTTTTTTGTTATATTATGTTATATCCGATCTGAATCTCTTATAAAAGTAAATTGTTCACTTTAAGAATCTCGGGTTGCCTGCATGGACTAACACTCAAAACTGAAATATATCGCAACTGAAGAATTTCAAGTTGACATCGAACAGCTTGGACGAGGCTCGAGCTCCTTATCTGCCTGAAACTGCTGTTTCGGATTACATGTACTATGACGCCTATCCGATTTTACGACCTTGCTATATCGGTTCCACCAACTGTACTTACGTCTAAAACGCGCGAAAAACACGATCTTTGATCCGCTATTCGCGAGCTAAATTCTCAAAAAGTTGAGACACGCTCAAATCCTTCGCTGGTCCACTTAGACGGTCGATTTTTGAAGCGGAACGAAAGTGATTAACGGGGAAATCAATCGTATTTCACAAACGAATACGATCCATTTACGTTTCAACAACGCCGTGCGGCAATCGTCTCACGCGGTGGAAAATATTCGAGAAGTAGGTTTCACGTCGAACATATCTACGCGTTCACCTTTCGTCTTACTTGAAATGATTCAAAACGATTCATTCGTGCTTCCACACGCGTGGAAAGTAACGATATTCGAACGTCGGTGATCTTCGTTAAAAAATGGAAACGCAATATTTCTAGGAGCAAACGAAAGTTCGACAAATCATTCGTGAAATCATTCGGACGAAACTTTCGTTTGGGGTAAACTCGGAGAAATAAAGGACGATTTATGCCTCTGAGGATCACCAAACTCACTAGAGAAATTTGACGAAAGTCGCGCGGAAACGGATAAAAATGAAAAACGAGACGACCGAAGTCTGGGAAGGACGTTGAAACGCGGTGACCTGCGAAGGGCACTGGCCGCGCAACCGGAAGTGGTCAGGTGCGATTCAGCAGGTTCCGTGGCATCCGGTTGGGAAAACGAGACACTTCCGGGAGCCCTGAATACCCTGGCAAGGGAAACCGGAAGCGCTGGCGGAATGGCTAGGCTGCTTTCGAAACCAAAACCGCGGAACCCCTATCGCGAGAACGTGTAGAAAAGTAATCGATTGCGTTCGATCGGGGACGAAAGAAGCATCGAATTCTTTAAACTTCAGTTCTATTAGGTCGTATGATATCGTTCCCCTTATGCAAATCTTCACTTTTTGAGTAAAGAACTGGGTTGCTGATAGTTAAATTTAAGTCTAAAGTGAGGATTAATGTTTGCAAGAAAATTTCAAAAATTTTCATCAGATATGTTTGATTATATTTTACATTCAATTGTAAATTTCCATAATTTATCGAATTGCATGTTCATGGTATTGTCATAAGGGGGACGATATGAAATGTTGGATTGAAATGTAACGTGTGCCTTGACTGGTGCTTAATAGGAACCCTTAGATTCCCTAACAGTGATTTAAGTGAACATGAAAAAATTCGGAACTCCTGAAGACTGAATTAATCACATTTGAGCGATCAACTTGTGAACGAGTAGAAATCCAATATTTCATATTACACGACCTAATAATACGTTGAATTTTGTTGCCAAATTTCAAATGTTTTACAATCCAGTTTGTATATACTTAGAAAGTTTTCAGGAAATTTTATCCGAGTTTTGACTTTAATCGTTTTCTTTGAAGTATCAACGATATTTAAAGGTCGTTTAGTTTTAAGGATCTTTTGAGAGAAAATCTTGGACAGATGAAAGCTTTAGCAATCTCGGTGTTTTCAAAGTGTGCAAATCTTTTGAGAACTGCCGTACCCGAATCTTTTAATACTGTCAAAATTTACGGAGAATTCAAAAGGAGAAACAAGGTTTCCGATATTTTTTTTCAATATCAAAGCTTTCAAGATTCTTTGAACATCGATGAGTTTTAGGTGTTGAAACTCCTCGACGTGTGTATCCATTCGTTCAATACTTTGAAGACCTTCAAAGAATTTTCCAAAATTTAACAACTTTTCAATACACGCAGATCTCGAAAAGCTCTTTGAAAATGAACACTATTTTACGAAAACAGGAGTAGCTTTCAAGACTTTCAAACCAGATTCCAATAACTTTCAAGCTTTTCTGCGATAATTATATCATTCGATACTTCAAAGAAAACTAAACTTGTTCTATTATTTAAAACTAATTCAACACTCCATTATTCCTGTTGAAGTAATCTGAATCATTCGAAGTCTATCATCATTCTAAATACTTCATCGATAAGCTATGTTTAATTGTCCCTTGTTCGAAATCGAACAAATTTAAAACGCACACGTTCTCTCAAATAACATTCTTCTACAAAACGTACAGTTACAAACTATCTATCTTACTTTCGATACCAGATTAACCCGATTAACAGTGATGAACAGTCGTAGGCAGATTACTCGAGCATCGTAGTCGTTGTCTAGGTCGTCATCGTCGTTGTCGAAGTAAACGTAGGCAGTCATCGGTGCAGGGCCCAGCCGATAGTATAGTTGCGGGAAGACCTTCCCGTGCGCTGTAGACGATCTGTGGAAAAAAGCCGCCCATCGATGGCCCCGTGTGAGAACGCGTGTGAAACACGCGGATCTACGATCCTTGAATGCACTGAATCGATCGATCGGATGACTGAGGTGTTGTTTTTCTTTCACGTGAAAGTTTCAGGTGTATTATGTAATTAATGTTCTTATTACTTCAGGTATTCGCAAGAATATTGATCTTTTTTCACGGATCTTTGTCGCCTTTCAAAATTTCTATTTTAGCTACTTTACACAATTGCTTGCCCTTTTCGTCCGTATCATACAGGGTAAAACTAAGAAGAGAACTTCAGTAACCCGGACATTTAGATTTTTCGGAAACTTTACAAGTTTCTTTTGTTACTTTTTTGGTTTTTCAGAATAAAAACATCCCTTGAAGTTTAATGTGTTTTCCTATTTTTCAGTATATCTTCAAAACTATAATCGATATAAAAAATTGTCACAATGAAAATTTAATGGCATTTTATGCGCTACAAAAGATCTAAATTTTTTAAAATAAAGATGGTGAAGTATGTTTGTTTATTTAACAAACAAATTTTTAACAATTCCATTGCATAGCTTTATAGAGCATAAAAGCTATTAAATTTTTATTCTAACAATGTTTTTATGCCTACCTACTGTGGGATTTTGTTAAATACTTTTGCGTTTATTCTCATAGAAGTAACCCCACGCGACGCCGGTGCTGTTCACCTATAATCCGCTTCTCTTTTCTTTTCGCCGCCGCCCCGATTCGTTCTCTTCCGGCTCGATGCTTCTCCTTTTTTTTTCACACTCACACACCTCACACTCTTCCTCCTTTTCTCCGCGCACGCATCCACACACGCCGCGATCGGCTTGACACCCATGTTGTCTAACATAACAAACACGCCACGCACGATCGTCTTCCATTCGTTCTTCCTTTCCAGGCCATTCACACCGACTCTTTCACATTCACTCTTTCATACCACCCCCACAACTCACACACACGCGCAGCCAATGCGGTCCTCTCTTTCTCTCCTTCATCCTCGCTCTCACTTTCCCTCCCATACTACTATAGTATTGAAGCCATGCAGAAAAACAGGAAAACATATAGGTGGAAAAGGAAAGGTTGTGCGTTTCCTTCTGGGCTAGCTATATACAGTAAATTCTCCACAAGTGTCAGTCCGCAAGGAATCTAAACCTGACACTCGTAGAGTCAGGGACTACGTTTTCGAGTCTCGCGCCCGCCTTTGTAGTTTGCCGAACGTAGACAAGGACAGCGAATAAATGATAAGGATGAAACGTGAGTCGAGGCAACCAAGCGATTTAAATACCAACTTTTTTAATTTTACGTTTTTTATCCCGAAATTTTTCTTAACATTAACACGTTCACTGTCTGGCGTGACAGTGAATAAGTAAATGTTGTTCAAATTATGTCGTGTTTGATATCATTTTCATCAGAAAAATCTCAGCAACATGTTAAAAAAAATTTCAGATGAAAAAAAGTAAAATTAAAGAAATTAGATTTTTCTATTATGAATTGTCGAGCCTATGAAAAAAAGTAAAATTAAAGAAATTATATTTTTCTATTATGAATTGTCGAGCCTTGAAATCTCGTAAAAGAATCGAATGGTGTAGCGTTACACGCTAGACTGACAGCGAGCGAGATAACATAGGCGTAGGACCATCTATACTGACACTTGTAGAATCCAAACTGACTGACACTTGTAGAGAATTTACTGTATGTAGTCGGAAATTGTATACAAACGGCAGTCTTTAGTGAGGACTAGTGAGAATTTGTCGTTAGTCCGTCCCTTTAGTGGTGGAGCTTAGGAAGTGCGGCCACATTAACTTTTAAGGGATATTTGCACCCTGAAAAACCAAAAAGTAGCAAAAAAAATTTGTCTAATATTTCTATTAAAGTCCCCTATAAACCTGCAAAATTTTAAACAAATCAGAATTTTCGGGTTACTGAAGTTCCCTTACAAGTAATACGTCCCGATTGACGAATCACCTCACTATTGTGTGGCGCACACAAGTAAAGTATATTTTTCTATATTTTTCGAAGATACTTAATAATCACACTTATACTTTAGCAACGACAGATTTGAACTTGTAATTTGCAGCAATGTATACCTACTTAATTGTGAGTGTACAACAATAGTGAGGATATTGTTAGCTATTTTTATCTAGTTTTATTCTATTAGATTTCACAGGGTTTACGCCCGTAAATAAAGTATAATTATTGGGTTGCCCGGACAATTTGTACTACAATTTTAAAGGAAACAGCCAGTATGTGATTGGTATTCTTATTAGGGGGTATTACGTGAGATATACCTACTATATCATAAGTATTTTTATCACCACTTAACGCATTGCCAACCGATTGGGTACAACTACTATTTTCCACTATATCATTTACAACGAGTGATAATTCATTCTTACATAGAGGGTGTCCCAGCTTTTTCCGATCAAACTTTATCAATATATTGTATAGGTATAAAAAAAAAAATTATATAAACATAGATCGCTTGAAGCTTTATTAAAAAATAATAACAATAGTAACGGATGAGAACGATAGGAATGGTAACGGATGTACAGTTATAATACAAAATAAGAATAGCTCAGCGGTATAGTACTTACATCTGTGGCGGGTACGTCGTCGTCAACAAACCCTTACCAAACCTAGTTCTATTCTCCCACGCGAATTTTCTCTTTTTCAACTCCTTCAGATTTTAGTTTCCGTTCTTTTATCTCTCCCGGGGTTAAGACTTGCCTTCGTCCTCGAGAAGCCTAAGAAGCGCACATGTGGCATCCAGGTTCGCACGAGGACGAACGAATTTTCCGTTTCCACCACTTTCTCCACTTTTGTCTTTATCTATCGCTACTCCTGTCTCCCTGTCCTAACAATATAAAATCCCGGTACGCCTACACCTCCGGACAGTTTGTTCCTTTACCGACCATCGCGACGTACCCACCGAACCGCTGCCGCCGGGACAATTAACCAACTAAACGATTGTATTTTCTAGACCAATTGTACGCCGACCATACACTTATACTTTAATAAATTGAGGTGAAAACAGTGTAACGACGTTCCTCACCCACCTCACATCTAGTCTGTTTATGAGAACTGTGCTTACGATCTGAGAATGTTGAAGGTGTTGAATGTAACATTTGCCAGTGCAATTCTTATCTTGTGGCATAGTAACCGCAAGTTCGTGACCTTCATATTTCGTATTTTTGTTATACCTTTTTAACGAAGCTTCGAACGACCTACGTTTATGTAACATTTTTTTGTTACTTACACCAATAGAACATAATGACAGAGTTTGATCGGAAAAAACTGAGACACCCTCTATAGATTATTTTAAAAAATATTTTCCATAATATTGTTAGATAAAATAAACCATCGTTCAGTTTTACATCACTATTTTTCCTAATACAGGGTACTTTATTAATTTTTCTAAAAATCTTTTTCGCAGCTTAGGTATCTATTCACCTGTAATTTGTTCGATTGGTAATGTGTTAAGATATATTCGGGCTGTATTTTACTATTGTTGCTTCTGTTACTTAAGAGTACATTTGTAGTGCATTACTTCTTCTTATTACTTGGGATGTACTTATAGTACGATGTTTGGAATATATTAAATTATTACCATTGTTACAGGGATACAATAATTGAGGTACATTATTTCGGACTCGTCATTCACATAAGAATTGAATTTTTCTAGTCTATAATTAGAAATGAGTAAAAATTATACGCAGTTACTTTATTTTGGTTTCTGCAAATACGATTCATTTTATATTTAATACGGGCATAACAATGCAATTCAAAATGAGGAAACTCTCCATAAATAAATTATTGTCTCCCAATTATTGATTATTCCCAATTAACAGGTTAAGCTGTATTTGGATTATGCTATACTACTGTTGCTATTACTTTGATTATACTACGAGTATCTGAAGTACACTGTTAATTTACTTGTTCGAAAGAAATTATGAGGGAAACTTTTGCATATGCAGATGGGTTGAGTACTTCGAGTAGGAGTTAAAGAGGGACGTAACAGGGTGTTTCGAAAGAGGGTTGATAATTTGTAGGGGAGATAATATGAACTGGGAGAGTAGAAAAAGTTTCAGAATCATAGGTTCTAAAAATAACTTTTACTTATAGAATGGTATTTTATACCGTAGTTTCTGTGAAATCAGAAATTCCTGTTTACTATAGTAAATTTTAGAAAGATTCACAAACGCACCAAAATGTTAATGATCAATATGAATACACGATCACCTATATTTTATTACTTAATCCTATCGCTGTTTGTGTTAAACCAATGGTAGTATTAACACATTCAGTGTAGAGGTCGGAAAATTTGCATATTTACTATTCGTTTCAATTTGCCAATTAAATTGTGGCGACCGCCACGGGGGGCCACGCACTTAGGCCTGGCGAATCGAGAGATGTTTTTCCAAACATCTCCGAGTTTCTTCGTCCTCGAGGACAAGAGTATTGCCTCGGCAATGCAGGCCCGCGCCCCCACTTCCTGGGACTTTCCCAGGGAAAAGGGGCTACTTAAGGGAGCCCCGAAAAAAGGCACGAGGCCTTTTGTCGTAGACTCGCGTCGCCTACACTTCAAAATTAGGTTAAGCGTTATCGGATTCAAATAAATATATTGTTATTAAACAACTTGCCCGAGTAATTACTTTACACCACGTCACTTCCAAAAAATGCTGACAGTGTAATTCAGAAGATTAATCTCCTTTAAAGCGACTTATGCTTAAGTAGAAATTTGTATTAAACATTACTTATTTGGTCATTTGTTCTGAAATAGTTCAACGATAGGTATTAGGCATTAGCATATGGTTCCATATGATAAAATGGTAATGATGATGAGATTCCTAATAATTATAAAATAATCTTTTATATTTAACAGGGCTGTTTAAAGTATAATCATTTTTTAAATTTGTGAAATCAAAACAAAGTTTCTTTAAAATTTAACATTGCTTGTGAAAATTCCCTAGATAGAACTGCCTTGA